AATCCAAGCATAATGCGTGATAGCTTGGGTATTGGTCTTCAGCTATACTATCAAGTATAATTTTGATGTCTGTTCAAAAATTATGCATGCCTGAACTGCAGAGCTTTTCAAATATGACAGCAAAAATGCAGATTTTTCCCATTTTGTAAACCTAGAAAAATAGTCGTATGTCATTACATGTACACTGTAAATCAAACATCTGGTTAAGAGTTAATTTCCTTGCTTCCATTTTGAAAGTTATTTTTTCTCAGAAACTAAATTTTTTTTGGAAACAAAGATTAGATTCAATCAAAGCATATCAAAGTCTGTAGAAAAACCATTTTCGTAGAATATACACTGGTTTCAGGTTTCCATAACCTCTGTTGCATAATCATGTTTACATTGTAAATAATATAACTACTGCTTTTATTGACAGACAAAACCTATTAGATTTTACACAGTTTTTTTTTTTTTTTTTTTTTTTTTAGCAGATGATTGGCCAGTCCATTAAGATTCATTTGTTTTCCCCCATCTTGGACATTCAAATCTTTACAGGATTTCCATTACAAAATACTCTGGGTTTATGCTATTTTATAAAAATTAAATTAACATATATTTTTAATGCATTTTAAAAAAGTTGTCTGATTTTGGAGTTTTTGTCTAATTTTCTTGAAAATTAATAATTAAGCAATAAAATGTTTCATATACTTTTATCAACATTTTTACAAAAAAATTTTCTTGATAGATAAATTACTACCTCTAACCTTTTAATGTCAACTATCCCATTTTGGAGAGGTGTATGAATATTAGTAGGTGAAATAAAAACTTATATAAATTAAGATATTTTGTAACTAACTGAGCAATACTTTTAATGTGTATTAAATTCCATGTCTTGCCCAAAGAATTTGCCTTGACCATTTAAATATGTCTAACTGTTGACTAAAATGTCGATTTTAAGACTTATCTTATTGTAAATTGAAAAGGGATTTAAAATTAAAACTTATCATTGAAATATTAATGAAACTATCATTTCTTGGATGTTCAAAATACCACCAAAATATCCTCTTCCAATTGATGCTAAAGATTAATGTATAATATCACTTCTATATTAATTAAGAGAAAACCCCATTAACTGATTTATGAGAATTTAATTGTTCATTTAAATATCTTTTATTAAAATAGATACTATCTTAAAATTTATTTCCACTATGAACATGTATATACTTTTCAATAAAGTGTTTCATTGAAATCTACAGCCAGAATAAAATTGTTGCATTTATAAATACATTTAATCTCTTTTGTTCCCTTTGTATTATCATTGATCTTTGCTACTAATTCCAACCAGCTGTCCACTCAATATTTAGACAAGAAACTGATCAAATATCAAACTCTTATTTTTATAGTATAGCAACAATAACACAAGCTTAAATAAAGTCTTTCAAAAATATGTCTTTGATATTCAAACTCAAATATGCGTTCTTAATCCATATGTGATGGCAACTTGAATAAAAAAAATAAGAATCAATTTTTCCATTACAAGCAACTAATTTGAAATTTAATTTCTCAAACAGAAAGATAAGCTTCTTGTATCGCTTTAGTATGCAACTAGCTTATAAAGTGTAATGATTACCAGCTTGTGCTTATTAGCAATTAAAGTAGATGTATATATTATATTGTGAATATTGAAAAGTTCTCAGCTTAACCAACAAGCATAACTAAAAAAAGTAGTATTTAAACAGATTTTAGAAAGTGGGTGGGTTGAGTCAAAAACTTTTCAGCTCTCATACATATTTTATCACATCTGGTTAAACTTGTCTAATACACTTTAATAGAATGGGTAGAACTTTAAGTGTAAAATCCTAACAAATAAATAAATGAACATAAGTTTGGACAAATAACTTAATAGAAATCTCAATACAAAATAGTAAATGTGCTGAATAAACACAATATTATACAACATTACCAAGAAATTACTGAAAATGACAGTGCACAGTAGAAATCGGAAGTGTACAATGACCATAGTATGAAAAAGATAATGGTAACGAGAAAACTAATTTGAAATAATCATTATATGATAGAAAGAAACCCTTATTTCAAAAATTTTGGGATGTCCTTAAAATATGTATGCTATGAGTAACAAAAAGTTACTGACAGCCTGATGATGAAACAGCCTGTCGCCTCTGAGTGTTGACTTCAATGTTCACTTTTATATATATATATATATATATATATATATATATATATATATATATATATATATATATATATATATAGTTAAAGGTATTGCAATTAAGCTTTTATTTAATTTTTCTTATGTTCATACAAGTTTTTTCTTTTCTGGACACAAAGTGTGTAAAACTGTCCAAAAGTTGTACATGTCTGAGCACTTTTAGCTATACTTTTAGCAATTATCAAGAATGATTTTATTTTTACTTTTTAACTGAATGTATGGGTTGTGTGATGTATGTATGTATGTATGTATGTATGTATGTATGTATCTAGAGTTATAAGGATGTTTTATTTTTTTGTTTTTTATTTTCCAAACACAGTCAGCTTATTCTTCCTTTATTTTTTATCTTTTTTTATATGAGGATGAGGTTATTATGTTTGTATTTTCTACTAGTATGTTTTGGATGGAGTCTCATAGGTTTTTGTGTGTATAAATGAGTCCTAATGGAGTTATGGTCAGGTAGCTGTAACATAAGTCATCTAGATAGGCATGTAGTAGTGTGACTGATGTAATTACTTATGAGTTTGGTTTGATCAGGAATACAGTTCCTTAAGGGGTATTTGAACTTGTGAATAATGTTGATTTTTTTGTAGTTTTTGATTTTGCAGATGTGTTATTTTTTATGATAAAGTTAGCTGTTTTTAATTTTTTGTAATAGATAATTTAATTTTCTTGTTCAGGTCGACTGGGGTAGTATATTTCCTTATGATATTTCTAAGTGAAAATTACTCTTGCTTATAGTTGATGTGTATTTGGTTTTTGTAGAAAATGTTAATGGTATTGTTTTATCTGTGTGTTCAGTATTGTTATTAGTTACTTTGGAAATAAATCATCTAATCTGGTGGTCGATGAGGTCGTAGTCAGGAAAACCATTGTTAACTAGTGTCTGTTTTGTATTGTTGAGTTCTTTAAGGAAAAGTAGACAAGAGAATGCATTCTTGTGTGCTCTCTTTATGAAATTTTTTATATCTAAGTGGGTATTCATTCTTAAAATTAAGCTGGCAAGAATTTCTGCTAGTGGTTTTTTATGTAATGAGGTGGTGAAAGTGTTGTTACTGTATTCTTCAAGAATGTCTAAGAATAGGAGTTTATTTATTTTTGTTTTGACTCTGTAGGTTAAGTTAAGGACAATGTTTTTTTCAAATGCGGTTTTGAGATTATCTATTTCATTTTGTTTTTATTTCATGTCCGTGTAGATAATGGTTGGTTGAAGACTTTTAAATCATGTTGTATAGGATGGGTTGCAGGTTTGAAGTGGATAGGGTTACTGTTGGTCACCAGTTTTTAGTAGCCAGAGTTGTTACAGTCAACTTTCAGAATAACTGAATTCAACATTTTCAGAAGGATTTAATACCACATTTGGAGAATTTTTATACATATATATTTTATATAAAGAATAACATAATTCACAAAAAAGAAAATTACATTTAGGAGTATACAGTGATAGACAACTGTGAAAAAAGGAATGAAAATTTATTTAGCTGAAGTGAGTTGCATGTGGGAGATGTGCTACATAACGAGGTTAGAAATTTAGGTAGTTGGCTGCCAAGGGAAAAAAATTCAGGGAAAGGATGAGATGATGATGTCACTATATCTTGAAGCAGAAAGAGAAAAAGAGAGACTTAGTCCAATTGGCAGCACCACCTAGTGGCATCCTTGTAGACAAGGTGGGGATAATTCCCACAATACTTCCTCCAGATTGGAAAAATGTATTTAGCCAATATGCAAGTATTTGAATGTGTTCTGTTCTTTGTAGTGTAATGAAGGAATAGTTGAAATTCAAGTGATTAACATGATGGAAAAGGCACTTGTTTGAAGACTTTTTAAATCATGTTGAGATCACCAATTTTTAGCTGGTTGTCTCTCAGTGTATTCATTCTTTCTGAGATACTACACTTGAACTTTTAACCTCTAACAGGCTAACATAGAAACAGAAGTCCATCTATAGCTTTTTTTTTTAATTTTTACATTGAAACTTAATAGTATTCTATGCATTATCAGCAATATGAACATGGTGCCATCTTAAAATAGATATATATTTTCATTAATGATAAAATATGGAATTGTACTTATAATAATCCTATTCTCCCAGTAAAGGCAAACATTACTGGGAGAATAGGATTATTATAAGTACAATTTCATATTTTATCATGTTAATCGTTTTCTATTAACATTAGTTCCACTACAGGATTTGTTTGGTCTGGCAAATGTCTGGCATTCGGGCAAGGTGTCCAGCCCATCAAAATTTGTGGTGAGTCATGATGGTTTTTAGGCTCTCCATCTTTGCGCGGAGGAGAACTTTGTTGTCTGTGATCCAGTCTTGCCACGTTACGCAGGATTTGATGAAGTTTCATTTGATGGAATCTTTCTACTTTGCAGATTTCTCTTTCGTAAAGTATCACTTTATTTCTCCATGCCAAAAGAAAAACTTACCTTGTGTTAAGATATCAACAGACCATCTCATTAATAAGTAGGTGAGATCAAGTTGAATGTTTTTACTTTTAAAGATTCAAAAACTAGAATTCTTTATTTTCTACAGCAATATATTGAGAAAACTATCAGATTACTCATGCAGAAAGTATAACCAATGTCACTGATAAATTATTTAAGTATTTGTTATCACTTTTTTTTTTGATGGCATGAGCAAATTAGTATATTCATTATCTGAAATGGAATTTACAGCGACATTTTATAAAATTATATTAAAAACATTGAGTAACTATTCATTACAGAAAGTCAGGAAATAAATAAATAGAAAGTATATATTTTTTGCTGTTTCAAGATGAAACCAATGTATATTAAAAAGAGTCGACAAATTATCTTCATAGTGGACAAAATTTTCAAGTTTGTATTTTCAGTGGTTATCTCCCTTCCTTATTGCGATTCACCGGAATTTTTGTTTCTTTTCGGAAGTTTTAATGTAAGTAATCTTTTTTCTTATTTATTTTACCTTGCAAATTATCGTAAAATAATACTTAATATTTATTATGGGCTTAATCATAGCGACTAATTTACTTGTTTTATCTTGTAACGATGAAAATAATTTTTTTTCTTACATATTGTAAATTTAAAAAAAAAATTGTATGTTAAAAAATGGCTAACAAAGCACAAAAACACTCAAAAAGAGTTTAAAAAAATAAAATAACGAATATTGTTAACTTTTAAACCGAAATTTAAAAAAAAATTTAACTAGGTTCATATTCTGAATTTAGTCCGTTTATCTTTTGGATATAAAAATTTAAATGAATCAGAAATAAAACGAAAAAAACCGTTCGAAATATAATTTAATTTAAATTTCAACTATTAATAAAAACAGTTTTGATTTAATATTTGTGCCCAGTATTCTTGTTGATCCAAATTTGGTCTTCAAACTCTGGTTATGCCTTGTCCAAGAAAAAAAGTCTGATTTAAATTTGAATTGATCGTCAATAAATTTTGTCATAATAAGAGACGAAAAAAATAGACTGATTTTGTTTCGATATATTTCCGTTAGCGGTATATCTCGTATTTTGTATTTTATTTGTTTCTTCTTTTCAAATTACAGTGTAACCCGGATATAAGAGACCCGGATATAAGAGAAACCCGGATGTAAGAGAGATTTTCTCTTGTCCCAAATTAGAGCCTGTGTTAATGTATATAAATTAGACCCGGATATAAGAGAAACCCGGATATAAGAGATTTTCTCTGGTCCCGTCCTCCCCAATATAAGAGAGTTCGTTTTTGAGTGACAGTGTGATGTCGTAAATCGGTCAAACAGAGGTCAGTTAGAGAGAGAGTGAAGTTCAATGACTTAATCTTGACTAGTCTAGAGACACGGTGTGTCCAATCTGTGTCTGTAGGAGACACCCTCTACCTTATGATTTTGCTTTGTGTGTCTAAGAGTAGTGCCGCCTGCTTTTTTGCCGACTTTGCTTGTCGTTGCATTTACTGGACAGCACATTTCACTTTACCCACTGTTCTGTTGAGTCAGAAGTTTGTTAATTTTGCCACTGAAAACTGTTTGCTTGCGATCATTGCAATTAGTGATGTCGGCATCGGCGTCTCAACGAAAAACTCTGAGCATTTCTGAACAGTTGGAGCTCATCGACGATGTCAAAGTGAAGAAACTCAAACTGGCGCTGCAGCCAAAAAGTACGGAATCGGTTATTCAACAGCAAAAAATTCTCAAGAAAGAAGATGATCTCAGATCTTGCATGCAAATGAACGGAAACACTAATCGCAAAACGAAAAGCGCCAATCCGCACACAAGGACGTTAACGAAGCGCTTACACAATGGTTTACGCAAGCATGTGCTCATGGAGCTACCGTCACCAATCACGTCATCAGGCAGAAAGCATCACAACTGGCCGTAAATCTTGAAGTTGATTTTGAACCGAGCAATGGCTGGCTCATGCGCTGGAAGCAGGCCAATAACGTTTCGTTCAACAGCGGATCAGGTTCTGCCAATGAATGGGTGACAAACGTTTTGCCGCAACTTTTTCGTGGATATGATCCAAAAGATGTTTGGAACTGTGATGAAACGGGAATTTTCTACAAAGCCATGCCGTCTGGATCTTTGCGATTTGCCGGCGACAAACAGTCAAATGGGACAAAAGTTCCCAAAGCCAGACTCACGATGCTTCAGTTCACAAACATGGACGGCAGTGAAAAGCAAGCTGTAGTTGTTGGTAAGTCGGCAAAACCACGCTGCTTTAAAAATGTCAAAACTCTGCCATTTTCTTACTTCGCTAATCGTAAAGCCTGGATGACTAGTCAGCTGTTTACTGACGTTATGAAAACGCTTGATCAAAAAATGATTGCTCAAAATCGAAAGATTATTCTGTTTTTGGACAATGCAACTTGTCATAACTTACTGCCAGGTACAAATCTGTCAAACATCAAATTGTCGTTCATGCCACCAAACACCACCAGTCTCATTCAACCTTTGGATCAAGGCATCATTCGTTCATTCAAAGCGTATTATCGTCAGGAACTTGTTCGAATGCAAATCGCAGCGATCAATGCTACACCGCCAGTGCCGCTCTCCGAGGTGGCCAAGCAGATAACTGTTTTGAAGGCCATGCACATGATGAAGCAAGCACTTTTCATGGTCAAACCGTCAACAATTCAAAATTGTTTTAAAAAGGCCGGCTTTGTCATTGAATCACAGGCTGAAATGGAAGAAATACTCGACGAAAATGATCAAGTTTCTCCACCATCAGGCATGGAGCAAACAGATTTTGACGAATTTATCAGCTTCGACGACCATACACAATGTTATGAAGAACTGACTGACACGGACATCACACGTGGTATAAAATCGGATGATCAAGATTTTGACGAAGATGATGATGCTGAAAGCATAAGTTCTGAAGTTTCTGAAAGTGACAAACCAGTGCCAAATTCTCTGGCTGCATTGAATGCGCTTGAAACTCTGGCAGCCTACTTTGAAGCAAAAAGCAGTAATCCTGATGGCGCATTGAAAATGATTTACAGACTGTATGAAAGTGTTCATGATGTTAACGAAGAAAAAGTTTAAGAAAAAGTAATTTTTGATTGAATTATTTTGAAAACTGATTGAAAAAGTATTTTTGTCTGTGTTTTTTATGTCTATAACTGTTAAATAAACGAGTGTGCTGTACATAAAAAGCATTATATGAAGTGTTCCCATACTTACCTAAACAAAGTAGACCAAACCCAGATATAAGAGAAACTCGGATATAAGAGATTTCTTCTCTGTTCCCGACAACTCTCTTATATCCAGGTTACACTGTATTGGTTTTGGATTTTTGCTTCAATTCGAATTTTTCATAAAGGAGAACTCAAAATATGAGGCTTGTTAAAACGAGAATAAGGAAAAATGTAAGGCAGGTAATTCAATTAGTTATGTACCATACGCTTAGGCGATGTATCTTCCAATACATGACTGATGAAGCAGATTTTTTCCTGCGGTAGACCAGTTGCATTCAAGGCTATAGAACCTGGTCTGTCCGGCTATTTACCCATAGCTGGGTGGGGGGAAGAAGAGGATTCATACTTTTCCCAAGGGTATTAGCACATAAGTGAATGTGTAATGGATTCAACCGTAATTTGAACTTGGCTATCCAGTTCCTCAATCCAAGCCACTATCCATTACTACACCGTGCCGCCATAATTCAGTGCTTGTTCATATTCAACATTTGCAAACTAAATTTTAAGGCAAAAAATTTTTTAAAGTAATTGTTTAGAAGTCATTTTCTCCTTCTTATTGCCAGAAATATAGAGTCTGTGCATAAAATCACTAAGAAAGTGAATGTAGTAGAATAGTAAAATCAGTGAGCAGATACAAAAAAAATACTCCCAAAATTTTGCCTATTTATACAGGGTCCAAATGTTTGTGAGGTTATTGTATTTGTGGAAGGTTGTGGGGAGGGTAAAAATTTGGCAGCATACAATTTTGAAAAATGGTGATTGAAAAATATTAAAACAATTTAAGTTTGATTCTTATTTGTGTCGGTATTGAATATGTGTTTGACAATGTCTTTTTAGAAAATAAAGTTTTTAATTTAATTTATTTACATTATTTGGACTATTATCATAATCTTCATTTCCATATTCACAACATTTTGGCCATTGTATACTTCAGCTTTCTTCAGATGATTGGAATTTCGAACAAAACCTTTTATTTCGTCCACTAGGGTACATTGTTCTAGTTCCACAAAATAAAGGGTTCGGTTTGAAATTCCAATCACCTGAAGAACGCTGTGGCGTACCATGGCCAAAACATTGTGAATATGGCAATGAAGATGAGGATAACAGTCCGAATAATGTAAATAATCATAATACCTCATTTCAGAGATATAGACAGATTAATTTAATTTGTAAAAAAAAATCATGTTTAAATTATCAATATAACCTACTTTATTTACATACAGACTCCTCATCTTTGTTGTTATTCAGCTGTTGTACTCCTTCAGAGAGTTTCGAAATGAACTTCTTATTTAATCTATGGATGTAGATTTTTTTAATTCCACTGACCATGTGTAGAGATATCTTGTTTTTATTTAGTGCTGCTGTTATTACTCATTCCATTCTGTCTAAGTCTCCACTGCCCAGACCAAGGATTGAGTTCACAGTTACTATGTCACCAAATTCATGACAATAACAGCAAAGATGTGGACATTAGTAATAAATACTGTAAACTCCACAGCTCAGAAATTCAGACACAACCCACTTTATTGCTTATGATTTTGAGAAGATTCATTAACATCATAAATTTTATTCTCACAGTGCTTTGGTCAATCAATTCTTCAGCCTTCATCATGTGTATACCTATGAGAAAAGCAGAAAAAATATTTTATCAGTTTAAAAAGTTGCAACAGAAAAATGGTTCTTAATATATGAACCATATACTAGTGATGTGGATGGCAGTGTAGTTACAGAGGTGTACACTCTGTCTGAAGTTATTAAGCAAATCATATAAACTTCAATAATTAAAATTTGAAAAAAATTGTCAAATTTTAAACAAACAATTTAGATATCAAAATAAAGCCCGAGTTAAAACTTTAGGTATTATTAGTATGTCTTATTGAAGTCATTTGATGTATTCTAAAAAAACTGCCATCTGATCTGCAAATGAAAAAAATATCAAATTTTACTTCAATAAAAAGGTAATAAAATCATCAAAAATTGATCAACACCTATAATAGAACAAATAACAAACACACATGATAAGTCTTTGAATCCTTTACATTTTAATATAGTGACCCTATTCCCAATAACAGCCAGTGATCTATTGTCCATTAATTTTGTTAATTCTTTTTTACTTCAGCAGGTTCAATTTCTGACATGGTACTTTTAATTGCTTCCTTTCAATTTGGTTATATTTATTTTTCTGTTAAGCGAATGAACTTGCAGGTAGACCAACAGAGAGCTTCCGGATTTCTATAATCTGATGACCCCTGTCCAGGATCAAAACAATAACAACGTGGCTGGAGGGTGGCTTTAAATTGACATTGAGAACCAGAGACTTGTGTCTAACCTGTAATACTGGACCATACCGAACCGATGGCCGGTCTTGTAGTGTGTGGGTCGAGTGGGGTGAGGATATGGTGTTACAGAAGAATGGATAAGACAAAATGTTATGATAACATCAAGAACACAAAAGGGGGAGTTTAATTGTCTAAACAACTATCTAATTTCATTGCTAATAAAAAATTTGTATTGTCACTTTTTATATTGCGTAATCTTTATATGCAGTTCATTTGACAATTATAATAAAACTATAAGAAATACACTGTCTTGACTGGGTTTAACATAAATACATTCACATAAGTTCAGTAATTTAATTGCTTGAAAAAAATGCTGATAAATTGCACTTGGTTTTGGAATGTTGATTCAATCAGAATTACTAATTTCAAGAAATTAAAAAAATAAATTGATTTTTACCTTTTTATAAACCAGTAAAAATATAAAATATATAGGGTAATAGAGTAAATATTAAAATTAAAAAAAAATGAAATGAACGTAGATACTTACATAGAGATATAAAGCTGTAGGATTATTATATATTGATTTAAAATCTAAGAGCCTGATCCTGGTACATGGTGCAATAAAATATGCAGTTTTGTGTGTACCCTTACACTACTTAGTTTATTAACAACTTTAGAATTTAGCTTTAGTCCTTAAGGATGACTGTTTACTTGAACTGACCACAAAAAAAACAAACATCATTTTGTTTTACCTGAAAAAAATTAATCCTAATTAATTTAAATTTAAATCCATTTAAACCTTTGCAAATAATTTGTTTTAATAAAATAAGTAAAACTTCAGTAAAACTACATTTGGTCTACCCACATACAATTAAAAAGAAACTGATGATACTGTGGGTGCATGTTCAATGTGTAAAAGTTCATAAAACAAAGATATCTTGTGAAAAATTTAGAGAATGTAAGTTCTAAAAAGTATATATATATATATATATATATATAAATCATTTCACACCAAGCAAGGCAATAAAGCCACTAAGATGCAAGGGATTACTGAGTGTGAAAGAATGTGAGAAAAAGAAAGCATTAAGGAGATAGAACAATAAAAGAACAAGAATTTAAAACACAGAAGATAACGATTGGCAGTGTATTTAAATTTTTGACAATCAAAGTTGACTGGAAAGCAAGAGAAAGAAAAAACTTTTAGCATATAACTTACAGTTACATCTAGCCACTTCAACATATAACAGGGTGATGGTCACTTTTGCAGTCGGCATTTTTGCAGGTTTTGCAGTGAATCATTGCATTCCTGAATCTTTTGTTGATAGTTATGTAGTCAATTTGATTTTTAGTTTCTCCTCCTGAGCCTCTCCATGTCCATAATCATTGTCTTGGATGTTTGTGGAACCATGTGTTGGCTATTACCTGGTCATTGGCCATGCACCATTGGAGCCATTTTTCTCCATATTCATTGCAGGTTCCTACTCAAAAATTGCCAGCTATCTCCCCTGCCCTCTTTGGTGTTCAGTTCTCTCATGATAATTATGACTTCTTGTGATTTGCAGTGAGCCTTGGCGTTGTCTAGCATGAAGTAGAAAGATTTGATTTCTTCTTCCTTAGTTTGTGCTGTCAGTGCATACACAATTATGATAGCTACATTTGAAAGTCTTTTTTTTTTCAGCTTGATTATCAGATTTCTTTCAGTTAATTGGTAGTATCCCAGAATGCATTTCTTGATCTTGTATCAATCCTACTTTTTATCGTTTTTCTCCCCACCTGTATAAATAATCCTATGATTGACACTGACAAAATCTCCGTTGTTTGGCCACCTAGTTTCATATACACCTAAGATGTTGAGTTTTAGCCTACTCATTTCCTGTTTTACATTTTCTAACTGGTCACAGTTGTTCAACATCCTAACATATCATGTCCCAACAATTATTATTTTTTTGTTTGATGCAAGCAGTCACTGGATAACAGTCCAGTGACACCTGTCACTTATATCACTCCTTTCCAGGCAAGAGATGGGTTCCAAGGAATTTTATCCCCTTTACGCCATAGTACTTTACCAAAAAGTGTTAGAAGGAATAGGCTATTACACTCTTTACATTGTTCAGATTGTTGTCTTTATCTTCATTGCCATATTCACAGTGTTTTTGCTATTGTGTACTTCAGCTTTCTTCAGAGTTTTGAATTTCAAGCTGAACCTTTATTTTGTCCATTGGAGTAGCTTATTCTAGTTCCACATGACATACCTCTTTTGGATGTCTCAGTATCTGTTATCTCCCTTTAACTCCACTCTTTTGTTCACCTCTGCTATAGTTTAATACACTCAGAACTCTTTGAGCCAAGTCACTGGATTCAACCAACGCTTGAGAACATCAGTGTATGAATTACCAGAAGAAGGCCAGAGTGTACAACAGCTGAAACATTGTGAATATGACAACGAAAATGAAGACAACAGTCCAAACAATGTAAATAGTGTAAATAATTAGAATACCTCATCTCAGAAATATAGACAGATAAGGAATAGGCTAATAGAAAGATCAGATGGTTTACCTGAATTCTGGAACTATAGAAAATGATTTCCAATAAGCAGGAAAGCAAGAACCAGCAAGGCATTTATAGTAAAGTTTAGAGAGAACAAGAGCCAGTTCAACAATACATTTCATAAGGAGTATTGCAGGGATACCATCAATCTACATATTGGGGGTGGGGGTTGCTTCAGTTTAGAGATGGTAGCAGAAACCATTGACAGAGAATAGGCATATTACACAATACAGACTCATTTGTAAGTGGAAAATAAGGTAAATATACTTCATGTTGGGATAAGTGTATGATATCCTGTGTGACGTAGCCACGATTTCATTAACCACATAGGCGTAAGGCTAAAAAATCTCCCCAAAGTAAAATTTCAAATTATAGTCGAAAATTAGATATAAAAGAAAAATAAATAAATAAAAATAGAAATTTAATCCAATGCTTTCGACTTGCGAGCGAATATGTTCTATGATCAACCATACCCTCCTCTTCTCTTCACAAATTCTTTCCCTCTTTACCTACTCTTCCACCCACAAGCCAAAAGGCCCGTGAACTTTGAAGTAACCCGACGCGAGAATGACCTGGTTTCCAAAATTTCGCAGCCATCAGGCATTTGACCATAAGTGAATTTCAGGCACCATCAGGATCTCCTGCTGCAATTCACGTGATCAGAACATACTAAGCGTGGATTGAACTTTTGGCCATCACACAAACACTGCGTGATTTGCGCTCCATCCTCCTGCGTACCCGGTCAAGAACAAAGAGAACCCACATGGCAGTCTTTGGGGACAGCAAAAATCTAAAGAAGGATTTTCAATTTCCCTCTGACCAGTGGCAGATGAACGTCGTTGGGCAACTCGTCCCTATTCCAAATAGACTGCCCACTGAGATGAAGAAGACAGCAAAGTCTGTCGACTAGAGATGAAAGGACTGCTATGAAACTGAATCAACCCAACGAAATGCCTGTACAAAATGCTGTGGACATCAAACACTTGCGAAAGAAAAGGAATCCAGGAAAATTGCCGGCCGACCAAAATATTGTTGTAGCATAAGAACTCTCGCTTCGGCGAATCAAAACTTTGTGTGAAAATATCAACTCGACTGAAAGATAAGTTGATTCTCTTGGTTTGATCTTTTTTATATATATGTATGTATTCACTCGCGCTTTTTGTTCTTTCATGGTCCCCTTCCCCTTTGTTAAATGAATTTTCTTTTTTTTTTCTTTCTTTATCTGTTTATATATTTATAAATAAATGTTTTATTTTGAAATCCACCGTCTTGTATCTGTTCTTCGTTCATTCCCTTGTGTGGCTTCCATTTCTGAGCGAAGACCGAGAAAAGATCCCACATTTCCTTTTTTTTAAACCTGTGGTTCATCTATATGCTACAAGTTCATAACACCTGAGAAAAATATTTGAAGGAAACTAAAGTATCATTACCCCTGGTGTAGGTTATATTTTTCTGTTTAAAGGGACAGATATTTTTCAGATAGATATTGTCTGATAGTCATAAAAGTGTAACTCAGAAATTCAGATATTAAAAAAAAATCACTCTTCATACTTTGTCTTCATCCAAAATTCAATTCAACAACCAGTTCGGAGTTTTAGTGAATTTTATTCCTTTGTTGTCTTTTTCAGGTGTTATACTTCCTCACTTTGATAATCATGGACAGCCAGATAATGATGGATGGGCGGATGATTGATTTAATAGATGAGCGATGGCGAGAAGACAAGCTGCCAATGGAAGATGTAGCTGTGCCTCAGATGGAATTGCCTGAGCTTGAACCTGACAATGGTCCAACTATTGAGACTCTACGTGAACAAGAACAGAAATGGGCAGACCTTAATTTGCATGCATTTAATCCTCTGCCATCAACTGCTGGCGATAAATAGACTATTTTTCTTTTTCTATCTCTATCCTTATATATTGTTTCTCTGAGCTAATCAAACTAAGCAATATAATCTCCCATGACAAAAAAAAAAGTCATTTTTTTTCTCTCCCATTTGAAACATTTTCATTCTCCATCCAGCATTATCCTGAGCTTCTTTTCTCATCTACTTGCTACAAATATTCAAAATTAATTCACTAATCTCCATCAAGTTTTGGGAAATGTTGAATGTTAAAAAAGTGTAAATATTAAAGTCTGACATAAACTTCTATGAATAAAATATAATATATATTTCCGAGAGAATATTTGTTATTTGAAGACATTTTAAAAGTTTCTGGTTTCATTTGTAGCTGAATTGGTGCCAATTTCAAGTCCTGGTAAAAAAAAAAAAAAAAAACTCAAGAATTTTTATTTTAGGCAGTTTGGTTCTTCCCACTTAGAAGATTACTGTAACAGTATTTCTCTTTCTATTTGCACTTCTGATATATTAATCTAAACTTAGTAACATCAATTTACATTGTCTTTTATTCATCATCAAATTTAGTTGTGATATTTCTCTATAATTTTTTTTTTTTAGTGCTTCAACATTAATGATGACTAAAAAAAATCCCACTACAAAAATATTGATTATTCTCCAAATCCATTGTGAATTTCTAATGAAACCCTGTCTTATCCTGTAGTATTTGGTTCCATCATTTGACAGTTGAAATTGCTAGATGTAACTGTAAGTTCTATGTTAACAGTTTCTTCTTTTACACTTCTCCTGTGTAGAATTCTCGTCCAGCTTCTCATATTCCAATAAACTTTAATCGTCAAAGATTTAAATGCAATGTCAATCATCATCATCATCTGTCTTCTTATTTCTTTTCTTTTATTATCTTCCTCAGATACTTTCACCTTCAGTAACCCCATACATCTTAGTAGTTTTATAGCCTTGCTTGGGGTGAAATGATTAAAAAAAAATCCTGATTGCATGACACTGAAGAATCACAAAATGGATTCAAAGAAAGATAAAGACTACATTGACCAAAGCATCTTCCTTTAATTCACCTTTTAAGTCTTTTTTTATCTGTTTATCATCTCCTAACAAGGATGTCTAAATAGGGCCACCAGATTTTCTGTAGCTACTAACGGGACCCCAGAATATGGTTTCAGCAAATTAGTTTTTGAAGATTCTAAAACCTTTTAAGCTTTTAGTAAGTGAACTGATTTATAATGTAAATGTCTGGCTGATAATTTCCTTGCCAGAAAGCAAATTTATGACTTTTTATTCTGGTCACAGGAATTGAATTGTGTTCCTATTTGTAGTTCTATTAATAATCACAAACATTAAACCTCTCAACAACATTTATTATAAAACTTCATAAAAATATAGTTTGTAGTTATTCCCATATTTATTGCTGCAATAAAAATCTGGAAAAAAAATTCAGATTTCCAAAAGGTGTAGCTACTTAATATATTTTGTGAAATTTCTCTAAATATTGAAGCTAAGAGTTTGTGATTGTATGGATTTCAAATAAGGTAGGATTTCATAAATACATCCTTCAAATTCATAATTTCTTAATGGGACCAAAGATATTCTACAAAAATTCTACCTGATTTTCAAGTTTTATTATAATAGATTTTATATAATTAACATAATAAAGCTAACAAAATAATTCCATGCATTTGTGCCTAAAACTGTATTGGTTGAGTCAAAACCAAATGTTTTTTTAAGGACTTAATTAAATGCTGCTTTTGGTGGTCTCTGCTCAGTATTAAGTCACTTTCTCAATTTTTATTTTAATTACTTGCAAATGTTAATCATCCTTAAAATTTATTATTATAGAATCATCATTGACATGAGATGAGTATATACAAGTCAAGGGAAAAACTATTCTGTAATTAACACTTAATAGACCTAGTGTTTCCTTTTCTTAAACAGACTGGTGTGGGCGGGGGGCACTCAAGGTAGAGGGTTACAGTATAGTTGTGTTTTCAATTTACAAATTCAAGTGCCCTCTGGGAGATTGTATCTCCAACGTATTAAATAATATTTATGTTGGTCACACCACAAACTCGCTTTCACGATGCTTGACTCTACATTTGAATGATAATTCTAACATCTTTAGGCATTTAAAACAACATGCCTGGCCGTATACACAATTCCAGAAAATCCTTGTTGAAAACACAACTATACTTAAACATGAAAACAATGAACAAAAATTAAAATTTCTTGAAGCTATATACATAAAACAGTTGAAACCTAACCTGAACAAAATAAACTATGAAAACTCCACAAATATACTTAAATGCCTATAATTGATAACAGAAGCCATTGTTTTATACCAACGGCTTCCCATACTTAACATTTCTCATTTTCACTCTTGCGTGGTCATGTGTGACGTCATGAGCTGTGGTGCGATTTTCACTTCCAGCGTCTTATATGCACAAGTTTGTTGTTGCTTCCATGCAAACGAAAACAGACTATCATTGTTGCTATGTCCATGTATTTAATTTATTGTAATTTAATTGTTATTGTAATGTAATTGTCATCTTTGATGATGGCTTATGTAAGCTGAAAGCTTAGATAAGATTAAAAAACATGTATCAATATGGTGATTTTCTTTTGACTTACAATGATAATGTTATTAAGCTTATCAGACGATATGAAAAGAATTTGCTTAAAATACATAGACAAAACTTGTCTATATTATTTAATGATACATGCATTAATGAAAAAATGCTGTCTAAATACACACTATATATACATACACACACACACACACACACATATATATATATAAATATTAATTATAATAATATTTAAAAATATGTTTTCATTGCGACACAGAAATTACTATTTTTCGGAACTAAAAATTAAAATTTTTGTTCCATTTTCAAGTGATGTTGAATAACTTCAGAAAAAATGATTTACTTTTTAAGCAAAGTAGTATTATATTTAAGAGTTTAAGTTGTAGAGGGAATGACATTACAAAATTTTAAATGATGAATCAGGATCTGTCAAAAAGACAACACCTATTTTAATTTTAATTTTTAGTTCCAAAACAGTAATTTCTGTGTCGCATTGAAAACGTATTTTTAAATATATCCTCAACTTTGTATCAAGTATTATTTTTTTTAAATAAATGCTAAAGAACTGTGGATTAGTAATCTGATTGTTCTTTTGTGTGTGTGAGACACACACACATATATATAAAGCACACATATATAACATCCTGTCTTTTGCTGTTTTTCTATTTTATTCATTCAGCACATTTTTGGGGTTTCTTTAATAAAGCTGATTAATTTGATTTTAAATTCACCTTGTTACATTAATTTTTTTTAAATTCTTAATTCTCCGCACATGGCCCAATTTGATTTTAATATGTCCATTTTTATTGCAATACTAACCCTAATAAAATATTCTTCAAGATTATCAGTATATTTCACAAGTACCATGATAGTACCAATGGCTGTGATAGCTTTAGTCTGGATAACCAGAGCCTGAATTTTTAGACTTGTTTTGTCACTTTATACTTAAAACTTATCTGGAAACTAGTGACCTAATTGGACTACAAGTTCCTTTATTCTCTAATCCATATGCTTTCTTTTTTTGGTTGTGTTCTAGTAACAAAAATACAGGATGTCAAATTATTATAGATTTGCACAAAGCCTGTGGTTAGTTATTTGAAATAAACTTTTCAAGTATAAAAGTAATACTTCTGTTTTCTCTTGCTTACAAAGCTTTCATGATTTTTAGTGACTAATCTTTCTTAGTAGTCATGTTCTTAATGTAAGTATAAAACTGTCTCATCATTTATTGGAGATAAAATTGTTAAAAACCTTATCACTAGCTGTGTTAGTGGATTCTTTCTGTGTTCCATGTTAGATTTTATCAATATTATTTTGATGTCTGTTACTGGATATATGAGAAGATACTGACATTTTGTTTCTGGGTTGGGAAGCACCAATCATTTTCTCTGGGTTGATTATCAGTGTAAAATAATACAACTCCCTCAGGTGTGAAGCAACTCTTCTAAATCCTTACTAAGCTTAGTTTTTTCCAGTCCGCAGTCAAAAGTAGAAAAACAGTAGAAAGATTCTATTGCCCCAGTCCCCTAATTAAAACCAGCATTTGAATTCCTTTGGGGAAATATGTAACACTTTCATTAGCAGATCAGTTATACATCAAGATAAATATTTACTAAATATAGTCTGGCACAAGGCCAAATGAAAAAGATGAAAAATGGATTACAAAGATTGTGGTACATTCTTCTTCCATGACAATTTAACCTTGAAAATCGACTTTTGAAATTCATACACTTACCCAGGCTTAAACTCTGAACATTACCTACCATGATTTGTAAGCTTATGCCATAGAGTAGTGAATTTGGTCTTTATGAGCGCTCGATTTTTTGTGATCTTGTGCAAGATTGAGCTCTGTTCAGTAAATAACTAGTTACTAGCACTAATGTGAAAAATGCAACTACCTCATCCACAAAGTTATATAAATATTTAACTAATCTCACTTAGTCTGGTATAGAGTTACAATAATGAAGTATCCAGTGAAGATTAACTAAAGAAGTAACTATTTCATTGCCTCTCAAGAATTGATATCATCCATTCAAGTTTCATTCTTTTTTGCCATATTGATTTTACCATCTTACATTACTATCCACAGATCTATTAATAGTTTGTACTAACTTCTTTGCTTATTCTGTGCTTAACACTTTCAGGATTCCTATCTACTGACACTTGATCTATCTTAATTTGAAAAATGAATTTGGGCCTAGAATCATAGCTGCAGAAATATTTGAAATATCATTTAATGCCTTTTTACTGTCAAATGCATTTTTGTAACATGCTTTTGTTTTTCAATCGAATAGACTTATTAAAAATAGTCAGCTCTTAGTTATTTCAAATTAATTTTTTCAGCTTAACATGC